TACTCCACCTCTGTTGCATAGCAGCAGTGGACTTCGCGATGGATTTGTTGGGGTTGAACAAGAACTGTAGCGCTTGGTGATCAATGATGATAGTAAACCGCAATCCGAAAAGGTACTTGTACAATCGTCGAACAGCCCAAAATACAGTCAACGCTTCTTTTTGAGTCTGCAAGTATCCCTATTCTGCCGCATTGAGTAGACGTAAAATGCAGATCACTGGGCATCCTTCTTGTTCTAATACAGCACAGATTCCGACATCGGACGCATCGGTAATGAGTTTAGTAGGTTTTGAAGGTGAAAACGGAGCCAAAACAGGACGATCACTAACGCAGCGAATTAAACCACGTAAAATATCTTCACACTCCACCGACCATTCCCAAGCGTCTGAACACTGAGCACGGAAAAGCGGCTGCGCCCTTGTAGCAAAGTTCGGGATAAATCGGGAATAGTGCTGTAGGCATCCCATCACGGATCTCAAATGCGTTTGATCCTTTGGAGATTCGGTGTTAGTCAATGGTTTGAAACGTGTCGGATCGAGACGATATCCACGAGAATCAACTGTGAATCCTAGAAACTCCAACTCACTCACTTCAAACACACATTTGAACGGCTTGATAGCCACGTTCCTGGCGGCGAATCGTTCCAGTAGCTGCGTAAGACGGGTATCGTGTTCTTTCGTATTAAGGCCGAAAATGAGGGCGTCATCTTGATATGCAAGCACACCGTCGAGTCCTTTGATTACACTGTCTATTGCCGATTGAAAGAGGCCAGACGACACATGCAATCCGAATGGGAGAAAATTGTACTGGTACATCCCCACGGCGTGTTGATTGTTGTCAAGTAGCGAGATTCGACATCGACTGAAATCTGTAGGTATGCGTCCGCCAAATCGATCCTCGAAAAATACTGGCACCCATGCAATGACTTCATGAAATCCTCTGGGTTCCTGGTGGTCACTGCACATCTCCGCAATCGGGGATTCGACGTCAGTCGATAGTCTCCACAGATCCGTGGTGTCCTACCATCACTTTTCATCGCCACGACAATCGGAGTTGCTCAGGCAGTGGATCCAACTTTGCCTATCACATCATCCTGCTCCATTTTCTGTAATGCTTTCAGGACACCTTCCCGTTGACCGTATGGGAGGACGCATCGTTTTAGGAAAAAAGATTCACCGTCCACTTCCAACTTTACAGACGGTATTTTCATGCCACCAACGTTACCGGAGCACTGTACAATCAAATGTTGAAGATGTGAGGTGATTGTCATATTGTTGTTGGTATGTAGTGTGATTGATCCTTGTAGTAGCCGCATTGCTCGCAGGCCCAGAATAGACGGACTGTGGGCTGATACTAGGAATCGGATTGGGATTGACACACCTGATTCAGATTGAACGCACAACATCGTTTCGCCGAAAAAATTGTAACTGATGGCCAGTAACCCCATGAAAGCGCACAGAAGTCTGGGATAGAACAACATTAGGAGAAATCGCAGTGAGTGCTGATTTCGGTAGGATAGATTCGCTGCTTCCTGTGTCCATGATGAATCGATGCTCCACATCAGACTCGAACCTCAGTAGGGCAAACACTAAATGGCCGTTGTGTTCAGTGGTCTGCAGCTTGTAGATTGGGCTTGAGTTCTCATCTGCCCTTGGGACATGGGAGTCAATGAGTCTACACTTGGGCATTCGGCATACTTTGCGGATATGGCCCATCTTACCGCATGCATGGCAAGCGACATTAAAGAATCGACAAGTCGAAAGAAGGTGATATTCACCACATGAAAAGCAACGGTTGGTCGCAGCCTTCGGTTGTGTTCGGCTTGAACTGGGTACTTGAGGAACCTGGGGTGAATTATAAACATTGGGTGCGTCACGTAATGGTTTCGTTGATTGCCGATGGAATAACACAGGAGTATCCGCATTTGTGACAGTACACAAATCATCACTTTGCTCACAGATTTCTCGAGCCTCAGCAAACGTGATATCTTTCTTTTCCAACATCTTACGTTGTTGATTCCAGCAATGAGACGGTCACAAAGTTTTTCTTCCAATCGGTCATCATAGTTGCATTTTGACGCCTGTTTGTTCAACCGAGGAATGAATTCACGGCACGGCATGTTGGCAGCTCTGATCATTGAGTTGATTTTGGCCCGTTCATTGGCCTGAAAATCCACTGGGAAAATGTGGTCCAGCAAAAGGGATTTCAACTTCTCGAACGGAAATTCAGCAGGAACATTCGGGAATGCTAGATTCTTCACCAGGGAATACAGCTCTCGGCCGCCCAACGTCAAAAATAGGACCGACTGATTCCTCCTTTCCGGATGCTGTACCACAATTCGAAACTTTCTACCCACTCTTCGATTTCTGATGGGCTTCCATGCAGATTCAATGGTTCAATGACAGGAATCTCCGTTGTGCGACGCCAAATTATGGTAATCAGAATATTATTGAATGTAGGTGTACGAGAATCCGTACTGTACTGCTCAGAACTGAATTGGCTCCAACCCGAAATGCGGACATCGGTGAAATGCACGAGGAATTGATAGCAGCAAATGCTTATGTTTATTGATGGAATTAGATCATTTTTTATAGAATGTAATAGTCCATATGATTGGTTGAACGAGCATCCTCCAATCACTTAACCGTTTGCATCGACGCATCATATATACTAACTCGGATGTCATGTTCTCCCGGTGTACCATTGGTCGAGCTTCCTGAACGGTGATTGGATGACATAAAACGGTACCTGGTCGCGCATGGATTGTGGTCACGGAAGTCTGGATCACCACAGTTTGCTAGGCATGGTAGGACCATTTGATATCGGCGGAAATCTCAATCGCTCACTTTCCCCACTGGTTTCCTCGATTCATCCGAAAATGGCGATCACACCACTGATTTGTTATACGCTTCCAGTCTCTCCATTGCTCGTCTTGTCCACAATCGCTCCCTTTTGACTCATCAGGCCAGTGATATTTCACGTTTCCAACTCATCACCTCTTATGACGATACCCGTCCGTTAAAGTCACTGGTGTCAACGGCTTCCAAGAATCCTATCCCTGGCGTAAATGTGCTTTTCTTCATGACCCGTTCACCTCATCCGTCAATTTTGTTTCTAGGCCATCCACATGTGCATTCCCCAATTCTCTTGGCTCGCGAAACAAACACACCCACACAAGCACACCGTCCAAACGCTTTACCAGTCCCGTTTCTCGCATAACATTTTCAACTTTGGTGTTTATCCTAAACGTCTTTCCCTTCTCAACCAAGTTGTATGCAAGCCTGGAAAAAACGCACGGCTGTCGTCTAGAAAACAAAATAAAAATTTGTTCGTCTAAACTAAAACAAATGTGTTGCTGTCTTTCACGCATTCGCTCCTTTCGATCATTTGCAAAGCAGGTTTTTGTACATCTCTGCCTTTTCTACTTCTACCACTGCGTCTGACTGTCCCTTCCAACTACTGACGGAATGACTTCACATGCTGCTTCCAATTCCATCCGCACTTCCTTCACCACTCTCGTTTTCCATACTACTTAACATGGCACCGGAATTTATCTCAGAATCACATTCAGACTAGCTCTGCCTTAGCTAGATAGGTATGAGCCACGCGGCATAGATGGTGTCCCACCAACTGTTCTCAAAACTCATGCGCCAGAGCTTGTTCCTATCCTTTGCTCTCTTTTCTCTAAACTTTCCTCCATGACATGTTGCCTAAGTTTAAAAACTGGGCACATCTTCCCTATCCCTAAGTGTGGTGCATCCTGTGATCTCTCTCTCGCTGCGTCCTCTTAGAATGGAACTACGGATTTCAAAAGCGTAAAAACTCACTGTCATTTGGAATGCCACAAATCTCCCAGCAATTCTCGACATGAATCCATCTGCCATTGATCCACTATCCATTTGTTGGAATATAAGTCACATGTTTGCCATTCCACCATTCACCCCAATGACATGCCTCCAACTCCCTTAGTAGGGTCGGGAGTGGGTGGGTACGTCTGACTAAGAAGTGACTAGTCCTCTGGAACTATTCCAAAAATACTCTCACACGGTCACTTCTCTCAAACGGCTTCTGCTAATGAAGTCCCAACCCTTTACTTCACGCGGTAAAGATTTTCCCACTCAAGTGGAAGGGTACGTGCAAATACCTGGTACTCTCCACTAGGGAGGAGAGTTGGTTAAAGCGACGATTCTTAACCAGCCGCACTTGGCGTGAAAAGTTCTTAATAGCACCAATTCTCTGATGCAACTCGTCACTGGACACTGAATCCCACCTTTTGAGTCAACCACTATGACGCTAACCGGCAGGTCGCCAGACCAAGGGTAAACTGAGTATCCTTGGAAGCTGACCGCATCTGAAAGCGTATGAAATAGTCTGCCAGTCATTGAAATTCTACTTCATCCCAGTGTTGCACTCCAACCCTTATCACATCCGTTTTTCAATAATGTTATTCTATTTTCAGTTTTCCATTTCTTATCTTGTTGGTTTTACTATATTGCGGAACTTGCAAAAGATGAGTCCAGGGAGACTTCTTACCTTTTTATAAAGATCGATTTTTACCCTTCCTCAACTTCTGATCATTTTCAAAGCCACTGTGTGATATTCTTATCATATACAGGGTAAGATCTCTTCTGAATTATTGGCGTGTTTGGTTCGTGTTCAGCGTGAGGTCCTTCGTCTGGTCACTGATCGGACCCTCGTATTCAATTGTCAACCACGTTTTCATCACAAGCACATCCTTTTCCTTGTTCTACCGTTAGTACCACGGGTTTTACTGAATGGATGTCACCGATCTTGCTCTTCCTTCACTTTGCTTTAACTGGCATGTGGACCTTAAAAAGTGATAATTACAATTACGGTTGGAATTACTCCTTCGTGAGACACAGTCACAGGCATCCAGAAATTCTTGTAGTTGATGCTACCATACTGTCAAAAGGG